GTAAGGAGACAAAGTAGGTATTCTGGAATTTCTCTTTTACCCTATCAAAATTTTCTATATCAGCATAATTTAAGTGTATTATAAAGGGAAAGACTTGATGAATTAAGTAGGTATTTAGTAAATTCTTATTTATATGAGGATAAAAACGACTGTGTAATGTATTGTATGTGCAACTTTAATTATCTTAATTTTAGAAAACTCCATTTGCTTTACCGTGTACTCCATCAATGAGTAAAGATTAGGAGGTAAATAATTAAAATTGAAGTATAAAGAAATAGGGATTCACTCTCAGTTTTAGTCTCTCATAAACGGATAAATTTTTAACGTAAATTTGGTCTTTATCATGTAATTTACCACTTCTCAGAGTAAGTCTGTGGTTCGCATGCCCTTCATACGGATCCCAAATAATCATGTTAGGGAGAAGATCTAGTTACAAGTAAATGACAGTTTGTGAATATCCATAAAGCCAGCTTGTAAACGGTACAGTACAGATAGAAATGGGTATATGCTGCTGAAACCTTCTGTTTCACTCAGAATCTAAGAGATTGGAATTTTCCCAAGTTAAATACAATTTTAAATGCACTTTATCGATTGCTATTACTTATTGTTATCATTTTATTCCTTCACGTTCCCAGTGGAACATAGAGCTTCAAGCTAGAGCTTTGAAGTTTCAGTAACAGTGGTATTTATTGGTTACAGGATTTCATCATGAGCTGACATCGATAAGAAAACCACTGGAAAACCTGGGTGTACTGAACAGCTATTTCCTCAGCCTAGTTTGAGACTCTTCATCAGTACGCATCCATCAGGGTTCGAACCCGGCGGCATTTATTTCTACGGGATGGAGTTGTTAGCCTCATGCCACCCCTTCCCTCTTTACTGGCTTAGCGAGGTAAAGGAGTGCGTTGGCAGGGGATTGAAACCCGAACCAAATGTGGCATGGTTGGCGAGCATTCTATCGTTGTGCCACTGACGACCTTTACCGATATTGATATTTAAAACAATAATTAACAGTTAACCTGTTCCAAATTCTTCTTTTTTTTTCTTATAAAAATTTAATTAAGACTACACATCTAATTTTAAAAATCTCTACACCTAACTATGATGAATTTGATAGGTTACTGAGGAAAAAAGTGCTTATATATGTTCTCAATTATTGATAGGAAATAATATTTCACCTAGTAACATTTAGAAATTTTTCTTAAGAAAATTATTTTTATTTGGTCATAAATTAGTTATTCGTAAAAATCACTAAAAGAAATTTTGAAAAATAGGAGTTAATCTTCTCAGATTATTTTGAATTTTAATATAAACACTCTTGCGACTAGAATCCGCAGAATATGTAGTCCCCGAATCAGTAGAAGAGAGGATCACTCTTCTGAGAAAGACATTACTTGAGAATGGCTATTCACCACGCTTGATACGTAAACACATAAAGCTCGAAATCAACAAAGAACAACCCATCTTTCTGCCGAAGAAGATGCTATGCATAAATGTGGCGTTCATAGGCGACCTTCTGACAAGCATCTTAAAGAGAAGAATGTCTAACACCCTGAAAAGGATATTCCCTGCTGCTACATTACAGTTGGTATTCTCAAGCCGCCCATTGTTGATTCCTTCTGTGAGCATCTACCAATTTACTTATGTGAAACCAGAGAGACATATAGGTCGTTCGATGCATGTTTTATCTAAGAGAGCCAAAGAACATTATCCCGCTTGGCTACGAAAAGGTAACAGTGGATCAATAAAGAGTGCTATAATTGAACATATATTCAATACTGGTCACTCAATATGCACGTAGAATTCATTCAAAGTCATCAACAAAGTCAAAAGAAGCCTCCGGAAAACGGTAGGTAAGCTTCCGTATACTTTGCATTACCGAGATGGCCTTAGCGATCCGGATATAAAACCCTGATTTATGCACACTGAAGAAACTTCTCTACCCCCTCCTTCTACCTTGGGTGTAATTCCAAGTCCTACGACTTTGTTATTAATGTTTTGTCTTGTTATTTTGTTTTTTGATTGTTTGTATGGCATCTTAGTAACATCCTCTTGTTAACCAACCCTTTATTACTCTCTTTACCTATTACATAATTTACTCTTTGGACACGTGTCCCCATTAACGTCCTATTTCATATTGTGTAACCCTTGTAGATGCTTACTAATCTTCAACCCCCTAGTAACAATTTTAATTATTCATCACATTCTAGAGACATTTTGATGACATAAACAGTAATCCTAAGTGACTTTTATTTTATTTTGTTTGACAGTCTTGAGAAAATAAACTTAAACAAATTAAGAAATATCACTAGATGCTCAGTTACAACAGACTATCTGAGATAATTCACAATCACAGACGATTTTTTTAACTATAATTTGTGTAATTCATTTTATCGATTAAACGAAAGTTCAAAATTCCATTACTTACAATGATTTCTATGAGGAAATTTAGACAATAGGTTTCACTACTAATACTCCTACTAATAGTAATAATAATAATAATGTGAACTAAGACAAAATATATGTGATTATTCGCAGAGTTAAACATCAAGCGATAATAAAACAGGTTGCGTAATCCATTAAACAGTTCATGAGATCCATAAATCTTAGAAAGAGATACAAAATTAATAAGATTACTAGGTGTATAAAAACACTGCGCAACAATAATGACATGTTTGTTAAGATACTGTCTAACATTTCAAAAAATCTACTCAACTGAAATGGTAAAGGGGAGAGGGCAAGTGAGATGATAGTGCAAAAGGGTTCACACTGAAAATGATAATAACAATAAAGACAACAGTAGTAGTAATGGTAGTGAGCTTTCTCGTCTAATCATAATTATCAAAATTAAATATTTTCCTGCAATTAACATTTCTATGAGTGTTAGTGTGTGTCAGAAGTTCAGTGGTGGAATACTTGCCAATCACACTTGACATGGTGCGGGATTCAATCTTCGGTCACTGCACTCCTAATTCTCGCTTAGGCTGTAGTAAGCCCGGTAGAGAGGAAAGCTTGGAAATGACTCTAGCAAACGCCGCTCCATTGAACAAAATAATACCACTGCTACTGGAACTTCGAAGTTCAAGCTCGAAGCCCTGTATTCCACTTGGAACGCAGAGGATTAAAGTTTTAAAAAGTAGATTAGTAGGGGCAGTTTAATTTCGCCACCGGATACGGTTTTCAAAAGACCATATATATATATATATATATATGATTGTACAGACTGTACAGATTCCCGGCATTTCAGTTGATGCATGGATATTCAAACCTCAAGCAGTAAATTTTCCGTATTGTTGGATTTTACATGGTGGAGTTGCCTCATATCCAAACTTTCGTCTTTTTCCGGCCTACTTACCGGCTAGGTGAGGTTTAGGAATGCGTTGACTGGGTAACGAATCCTGAGACCTTCCGTAGCTTATATGCATTCTACCAGTGTTAACCAGTTACACACCTTCAGGATTAGCTTACAAAGACTGGAACCTTGTCTTATTCACGTTTTAGATATTGAAGTTTTGATATCATGGCTACTATGTCATCGCAATGTTAATTATTGTTGTTTTCGTCTTAGATTAGTACTGTAACAACAGAAGACAAGGGCCAGGCAACAGAACCTTTATTTCGGAAAATCAACACGTATTTATAGATTTTGATGTACATTATTGTAGGTTAATGTCAGTAGAAAATACAGTCTGTTGATTGGTTGTTTCTCACAGAAAGTTAACCTTGCATATCTTGTGGCTGTGTCAGTTCAACTATATGTTAACTGTATCCGCCTGTCCACCTTGACCTTTGACCTCAATTACTGTAAACCAAATTGGCTAGCGACCACCTTTCACCACAGTACTACTTCCTACGGTTGACTTTATTTTATTTCGGTGTATATTTCGTCAAGAAGTGAAATAATTTAGAGAAATAGTGAAAACCATGAAGCGCTGGGCATCTGTTTAGTCCTGATTTGAGAATCTGAAGTGATGTACTCCGATGATTCCACTATGGATGGAACTTATTACAATTACATTGTGAGGTGAGTCTATTAGGTACTCAGCTGTAGGACACATAATCGCCCAAGACACTGGTCAGCTCTGACATTACATGTATCACTAACAGGCAGTAGTTAGAATTTACCCATTAGTGGATTTCGCCACAGTAACTGAATGATCGGACAGCCTACCTCGCGTCGTCAATGTCTTGAGTTCGATCCCTGATGCCTACTGATGAAGAATCACAAACTAGAATGAAACAGCTATACACCACGCCTTTATTCTGACATCAGTTCATGGTCATACTCAAAAGCAATCTGTTTCCTGAAATTCAACACTTGAGAAATAATAATACCTATACTATACATAAGAAAGATAATAAACACTTGGGTTTCGTTTTATTCATCACTTTACCCTCCGAGTTGGGGTGGAGGGGGGTAACACTTCAAGCTTTGAAGTGTCAGCAGTAGCGGAGGTGTTTTATTTATATGAAGTGGGGTCATTAACCTCACACTCAACCTTCCTTCATCACCACGCTTACTACAAGCTAGTAAATTTGATGAGGTTGAGGGATTCAGCGACTGAGAACTGAACTGATACCTTCCATCAGATTTAGCAAGCATTCAACTATTGAACCACCGATGCACTGGTCAACTGGCCCACCTCATGACCCAAAAGTCCTGGATTTTCAGCGTGTGATGTAGGCAGCCCAAATTTAGCAGACCGACCATTGATATCAGGTATGCGTCGGTCAGGGATCGACGCGCCATGACTATGTGCATGGTTGGCGGGCGTCTTAACCTGTGTGCCACCAATGCACATAAACTACATTTTGACTAAAGTTACTTAAATCATATCACTTATTCATACAGTATTTATTTGTTCATTATAAAGCTGAAAAAATTCCTAAATACACAATTTATATTTAAATAATATACATTTGAGTAAATATTAACAAAGTGAAAAACAACCATTAGAAAAAAATTGATAAATAAAATGAAAAATTTTTCGAAAGCTTACAATTTTATTTAATATTTTCAGAAGCCTGTCTTTTTAAATTCCATATTAGAATGATGTTATAATGAACAGTAGTTATAACTAGTTGTATACACGCGTATTCCAATTGCATTTACACATTTAGGTGAGTTTGATTTACTTCTCACCGTGTTAGTGATATAAATTCAGATAAGGTGTATGTGTATATATGTGTGTGTATGTGTTTATGTGCTCCACTCACATTATCATATCTGAATTGTCATTGAGTAACAGTTAGTTTTGTTTTTTTCTGTGGAACTAACAGCTGTTTAGACAATTTAGTCAGCTGAATAAGAGGAATCGGCTATACAAAACACAAACAAAAATAGCAGAAAGAGAAAGTGAAGGATTAAAATAAGAAAAATATCACTTATGTTTAACTGAAATACTGGCAGAATTACATGTATTACTACTGTTATTCATAATACCAGTAGTATTGGTCCTTGATTTATCACAATTGTTATTATCACTTGTAATCAGAGGAGGAGTAGTAGGAGAATTAGTGACAGTGGTAGTAGTAGTAGTAGTGAAAATTGAATAGGAAGCTGTATTACTGGGTGAAAATGTTTTCAACTTTCTACTTGGTAATGTATAATGTTTTTCATAGTTCAAACCAGTTAAACCAGGTGGTACACTGGCAATATGTTTACGTATCTCTGAAGTGGTTAATCTTTTGTCTTTTGTTTGTAATGTCGCGTATAAATTCCCGTGCAGTGGACATGGTGTGTAAAGAGATGAATTCAACTCATGAGTATTTGCAGTATCTGTTTCATAACAAGGTTTACTAGTGCTTAAATTATTCGTGGGTAACTGTTGTTCCTCAGTAGTATTGAGCATTTTTAAATTTGAATTTTGTAAAGAATTCAATTCTGTATTATTGGATAAAGAGAGGAGATTAGTATCTGGCGTAAGTTGCACAGTTCTACTGGTACCACTACTAACTCCGTCAACAGTCACATCCAGATTGGTGTTAGCAGAGGCATTAGGAGCATCAGTCACTGTCACAGGATTACTTGATACCGGATGAAGAAATGCATAATTATGTATAGGACAAGGCATTGTTGATAAATCCCCACGTGTAACTGTTGGCAACAGGCGAACTGTTACATAATTATCAAATTCAGTATGATGTGATTTTTGTGAGGATGATAATAAATTATGCTCATCGATAAGTTGATTTCCAGTCCCATCAGTATGTAGATAAATATGATCCCTGTCTAACGCGGATAATGATGTTGGTGATAATTTATCCAACAAGATTTTATTACCACTTAAAGAGGCTAATGATGTGCATAGTTTAAGATTTTGTCCATGTAGAGTGTATGAACTTCTGGAATTACTTATTGTATTCTTTTCAGTAATACTACTACTATTAAATGTATCTGTTTCATCTAAACCATCATGTTTCATTTGAAGCTGATGATGGTGATCAGATTTGTCGTCATAAATTGAAAGACTTTGCTTATTTACATCTAATTTCGGTCGACAGAGATGTTTTCCACTGAAAAAGTAAATTGTTAAACCCATTAATAGCAATAAGACAATTAAACATGTTGCAATCATTCCTGTATACTTTAATATCAGAGTTGTATCCAATTTACTTATCCAATAGAATACACCATCATGATGATGTTGATAAGTGTCTTGTACTAGGCTTGTACCTCCACCACGACTGCTGTCAACTTGAACATTGAATGTTGTATTCACATAACCATAACCAGTATCCAAATAGCAAACATAAGTACCAGCATCAGAAGGTTGTATATTTTCAATAGTTAATTCAGCTTGAAATTTTTTACCTTGACTTTGTTTTATCATAGTTCTTGGCCAATGATTCTGTATTCTAATCCCATCTTTATACCAGACAACAATACCTGATGGATCAGCAAAAAAGTTACATAACAGTGTTGAATTATTTCCTAAAATTAACTGAATTTGTTGATTAGGTGTATACACTTCAGGTGGACAGTAGAAGTCAGTACTATGCACAGCTTGTACTCCAGCATTGTTGATTTGACTAAATAATGGACGTCCGTGTAATTCAATGGGTGATGCACATTTCGGTTGTAATAAGGTATTTACATCATTTAAGTGATAATCCAATTTACCATTATTATTACTATTAGTATTACCATTTAGTAACCAGTTATTTGTTTCAATATCAATATTATTACGTAATAGGACAGCATCATTGATTGGTTTTGAATAAATCAACTTTTTACCATATTTTAAAAACCATACTTTTAACCATCTTAAATGACAATCACATTTCCATGGATTACCATAAAGATATAATTCTTGTAATTGCATTTGACTAAATATCCCTTCATAGATTTCAGGTAAACTTTCTAAGTGGTTATTACTTAAATCTAATAGTTGTAATTTCCATAGACCATAAAAAGTTTCTTTATTCAACTGAAAGTCTGTCGATCCACCTGATAGAACAATTGAACGTAGTGTCTTGCTAATAGGTAGAAAAAAATGATTTGGTACATTCCCGATAGGATTATGTAATAGATTGATATGCTGTAAGCCAATCAGACCATTTATCACATTTGGATGGAATGATTCATGAGATATTGTTAAAAAATTATATCGTAAACTTAATGTTTGCAACTTATTTAAATTATTAAATGTATTTGGATGAATTATTTTAATTTTATTTGAATCTAAATTTAAAAATGTCAGATTTGGCAGATGGTTGAATTGACTAGCATTCAGCTGGATAATATCTTGATGATTCACTGTCAACTTGATTACTTCACTTGGTAGACTTAAGGGAATAGTTTGAAAGTGTGTATTCAATTTATCACATATTGATTGACGCATTGAGTAATCATCACCAGCAACAAATGTTACACAACCTTTAACACAGTCTACTTTCGGTACATGCTCTAATAAATGAAATATTGTGTGTAGAGTACAGATTAATAAAATTGATTTGAATGATGTTGACACTGGTAAAAACGATGGTAATGATAGCTCTGATATGAGTATTTTTGGCATGAGATAAAAGACAACCAATCAGCATGGAATGGAGTAATATTATTATTATTAGCAATAATATTTATGTAAATTACAATACTAATTTTCATTCGTTAAATATACATAGACTCTTTGATTGAATATTATTAGTTAATATATGGTTTGATGTAGTCGTAGAAATGTAGTTTTATCTCATTAGACAACATTTTCATCATATTTCCTTTTATATCCATCATCTTTACTACTTAAAACTCAACTATATAAGTAGTGTGTATGAAAAATAATAAAAGTATAGGAGATATAGGAGATGTATAACAAACACTTCAGGATGATAGAAAATGTCAATATGTTATGTGAAGTAATTCCTTTGATAATTGTCTAAATTGTGTGTGCATATATTTCCGTATATGCGCATACCCGTCACTAGATTCGCATCTGTAATTTTATTGTTAGCATTATTGTTATTATTATCCATAAGTGTTAAGTTTAGTAAGATTGCCAAATGACATTAGATATATAAGTAAATAAACAGCTGATGATAAGTTAATTCGAATCAGTCAGTCGGTGTTTATACAATCATCATTTGACAGTAGGTGAACTTATCAACCAGTCAGTAAAAATCAGTTGACCAACAACAGCCAACAACGAACTAAACACCAGCCAGCCAACTAGCTAACTAACCAACTAACTAACTAAGTAACTAATCGCTAAGTCTAATCGTCAGTGTTTGTCAGTTAGTTAGTCAATCAGTCAGTTAGTCAAACTATCGTTAGTTTAAATTGGTTATTATTATTATTTCAGTAGTAGAAGCATTCACACCACATCATACGGTTTAAGCATCCACCCTTTAACTTCCAAAAACAGAAGAAGAAGAAGATATATCTACTAAGGAACAGTAACAAAAGCGTAAAAGAAAACTCCGTATATATATATATGTATATACACATAGATTTATATATTATCGAAAGAAAACACCAATTGTCTTCTGATTATCCTGAACTTCTATTCGTTGTGATTCGATTGGTCCATTTATAGTTTGTGTGTTTGTTTGTTTTTTTTCATTAGAAATCTAAAATGTCACATTTTATATATATACATATGTTAGAAACAGAAGCAGATGGTAAAGAAGGAAACAGTAGTGGATAGTCATTATGTCTCAGTTGTTTTTTGACACAGAAAAATTAAACGAAATCATTTAAGTTCTACTTATATTAAACATACCTATAATATACATATATATATATTTGCATAAAGCGTTATTTAACATTCGAAGAAGACTGATTTCATCACGATAAGACATTATCGTATACAATATTCAATGCGTATCACATACATGTCTACGTGAATAACGTCTGTTCAATGAAACAAGTAAAGTAAAAAACAGGCAAATGAATTGATTGAAAGTCTAAAGTAATTTGCATTATATGCATGAAACTATATATACTACTGATCGACTGTGATGAGTAGTTTCATGCCAATCATGAAAAACTAGGTGGTGTTTTTTGCTAAACAGATCGAAGTGACCTCAATCGACTAGGCGGTAGGTAGGTAGATGGTATAGTTTTATGCTTTCTTGATTAGCCTTTATCGTATCAAGCAGATTGCATAAATGTGATCCGAAGAATTTTGCTTCCTGAAAGAAACTGTCGAGAAATGTCAGCTGGAAGTGTGTCAGTTATAGATGAATTTGCTAATGGTAAATTTGATATCACTATCCATATTTTTTTCTGATAATGATGAGTCATCCATGGAAGAAAGGGTACTTATTCAAACTACCAAAGAACGGAGAATTAAGTCAATGCAAGAACTGGCGCGGAATTATGCTACTGCCCATCCCAAGCAAAATACTAAGCCGCACCATCCTGGAGAGAATCAAACATGTCCTGGATGAAAAACTTCGACCGGAACAGGCTGGATTCAGGAGAAACAAGTCATGCATTGATCAGATAGCCACATTACGGATCATCATTGAACAAAGCTTGGAATGGCAGTCATCTCTCTATCTCAATTTCATCGACTTTGAAAAGGCCTTCGACAGCATTGATTGAGAGGTGATTTGGAAACTACTTCGCTACTACCAAGGGGTGCCACTTACAATTATACACCTCATCCAACAGCTGTACGACAATGCTGCATGCCAAATAATCCACAACAGGAAACTTTCGAAGTGAGGACAGGAGTAAGACAAGCTGGCTGCTTACTATCGCCAATGATTTTCCTGATTACAGTAGATTGGATAATGCGACAAACAGCGGGCAATGAGAAAACAGGCATAAAAAGGACTCACACAAAAAACTTGGAGGGTCTGGACTTCACCGATGATATATGTCTGATTTCCCACAAACTGGGAGATATGCAAGCGAGAAGCAACAAGTTGGCAGAAGAAGCATCCAGAGAAGATAGGACTTCAGGTGAACATAGAGAAAACAGAGGTGATGAAGATTCCTGGGCAACACCACCAACAGCAACAACAACAACAGACAACAATCAGCATAAATGGGAGGAACCTGAAAGAAACAACCTCTTCTACCTACCTGGGAAGCATCGTTTCAACTACAGGCGGAACAGACGAGGATATCAAAGCAAGGATCGGAAAAGCAAGACAAGCTTTCAGTACTCTCAAGTCTGTGTGGAGGTCAACAGCACTCAGCATGAAAACCAAGATCCGGATTTTCAACTCCAATGTGAAGTCAGTGCTACTTACTATACGGATCAGAGACTTGGCCAGCACGTCATAAAGAACATCTCAAACAAACTACAGACCTTCACTAACAGCCAGTTGTCTTCGCTCAATACTCCGCTCAAGATCAGATGGCCGGCCAGAAAAGATCAGCAACAGAGATCTCTGGCAATGAGCAAACAAACCCAGCAGGAACCGATTGTGAAACAAATAGATAAGAAGAAATGAAGATGGATTGGCCATACTCTGAGGAAACCATCAAGTGACATCACTAGACAAGCAATTGCTCGAATGGAACCCAGCCGAAAGGGGAGCGGCGAGTTGGTCGTCAGTGTGAGGGTGATATTGAGGAGGTCATGTGAATAGGGGATGAAAACGTGTGGGCAGACTTGGAGCCAGGTGAAGACCCTAGCAGAGAACCAAACGCAGTGGAGACGCACGGCTGAAGCCCTATGTTTTTCTAAGAATTAAAGGAAACAATAATAATAATATCCACATCATGTCTAGAGATTTTTCGCTTGGATTATTGATAGAATATTGTGCTTTTTAACTTTCACATAACCACTTTTGTGATTAGTCTTGCTATATAAGTTTCCCTATGGTATTCATTTTATCTGTAAATATACATTTGTCTAAGAATTGGGAATATTGTTAAGAAAAGAAATCTATCAACTATCTATAACTTGTGTGTTCAAAGAGGTGTCTAATCAGTGCTGATCAGATGTCGCATGGCTTCATTTATGAAATAATTGTTGACAATTCAAAATTCACAGTTTTAGGTGTAATTTGAATTCTGTTGTATTAACAAATCCATAATATTCAGATAATATTATATATTTAACCCTATATATTATCCTTAGGACAGCGAAAATGATAAAAGCCAAAGACATTAAAAACTGACACTTGTGACAAGACTGAAGTACTATAAACACAGAACGGCCTTTTCTTAACTTCTTATTCATAGTAATTTCCAGTACAACTGGTTGGTTCACTTCAGAAAGCTGAATCAGGTTATTATCTCTTCGTTATAATCAGTAATGTCCATTTCAGTGGGCTTCTACACATTTATTTTCAAGACTTATTTCGTAGGGATTTGATTTGTAACATGTTTGACTACATATTGATATCACTTACCGGACCATTGGATGCCAGGGAATACAGGACAGCTTTTTCGCCCCAATTCGGGACTCTTCTGCAGTACGTGCTCACCGGGGATCGAATCCAGGGCTTCCCGATTACAAGAGAAGCTTTTAAACAATTTAGCCACTGCCACCCAATCTAATGGTCAGTACATGAATTCCAACTTCTGCTAGTTCGCGGTGTAGCGCAACTATTCGAATGCTGGTTTATAGGGATTTGATTATCAATCTGATTCTCAGGCCAGTTACCTGGGTTCTAGTGGGAATTCGTGACCAGTGGAGTACAGCAGCTTGGGTTTCAGGATCAACACTCGCCATCGACGATATTTGCTAGTGTCAGTCCCACTACATTGTGAATTAGCAGAAATTGGAATTCATGGGGTGGTCATTGCATCGGGTCCCAGTGGCTGAATGGCCTACTAGCTTATCGTGTAACCGGAAGGTCCTGGGTTCGAAACTGCTGGGTGCATACTGATGAAGAGTCTCAAGATAGGATGAAACAGCTGCCCAGCACTTTTAGGTTTTCCAATGATTCTTTAATCGATGTCAGCTCATGATGAAATTTTAAAATCTTACCAAAATCTTTACCGCTGTTTATACATCTTAGAATCCGACATGGGAATACTAAGACTACTTACTAATCTGAACAAAATAATGAAATGGAAAAAAGTAAATATGATAATCCCCAGTAGAATTGAACTCAAATAAAGGAGGGAAAACAGAAAATATTAACGAGCGACACAGTTCTCAAGGGAATTGGAAGAAAACAGCCACACACACATATATACACATGCACACAGCTACATACAGACTGAAATATGGAGCACTGATGAATACTGTAATCATTAAATATCTACTTTATGAAATAACTTTGATTTCATATGAGGATCACAAGTGATGATGACAGTGAGGAAGAAAGTTACGTTAAGAAAAAACAACAAAAAAGGGAATATACTAATTTACACGGAAGGTTAAAATAACAAGACATAAAAGTGAAGTTGATCAAAGTAATAATAACAATAATAATACCTATCAACAATGAAGTTGTAATTCTTCAACTTGCTTGTTAACCGAACTTTTTTCATCCTTTAGAATATAAACGCAGTGTTTTATCTTAAGTAATCAAGACATGTAGAGAGTTAAATGGCAAGTGTTTTGGTAGCTTTTTTTAAATTTAACTTAGCTGTGGTGATGCTAATTGAATTTAAGATTTTCCCCGTCGATTGATTGGACCGAAGTGCTCGGTCTCAAGTTGACATGTCTGCTTCTTGTGCAGATGCTTTGACGATGTCTGGGCATTTAATTAGCATTTAATTGGTGGGTGGTGACTAGCAGTGGAATCCAGGATGCGCATTTCGTCGTATTTGGGACGCTTTGGCGTTTGAAACTATGGGCACTGGTTTTGAGCCTCGGTGGGAACATCATCACTCACTGGCAAATGCAGGTACATCTGGATGACGAGTCCCAAATAGGACGAAATGCGCATCCTAATTTCCACTGCTAGTCACCATCTACGAATTAAATATGCTGATGTTACTTTAATGATAAGTACAGAAAGGATATTGTATATATGTACTAATTTCAACTGTTAGTATTAGATGGTTGGCTGCAATTGGCAGAAAGCCCTGCTTGGACCTAGGTTTCGTGCTTGTTTGCAATCTTCACTAAGGCATATCTACAACTTTGTATGGTGACCACACTGCAAACTTGACAGATAGAATTCATTTTACGCCAAAGATAGTACTGGACACATTACACTAGTTACTAACTGACATTCAGTCAGTGTCCAAAGCAGTCCTACAGGAGGTCAGTGGCAAGCCCAAATAGCTCAGAAGTAACATCTCAGATTGGAGCACTGGGTGACATGGGTTCAAATCTCACAATGGACATCGAGGTTACAGATACGCGTTGCTGACTGGTGAAAAGCAACTAGCACGAAACATGGGTCCAAGGCTTCCTGGCGATTGCTTCCAACCATCTAATAACATCAATTCACAGTGCACCATGATGGCAAGCCACATATCATGGTGACCACATTGCAAGCTTGACTGATAGAATTCAGTCTGCGGTAAACA